ATTAAATTAAATTAAAATAAAAAAAAATCGAGAAGGGAATTTCAAAGCGGAGCTCAACTAGCTAGCTAGCATTTAGATTATATCAGATTGAGAAGATGGGATTGCTTGCTGGTGTTGAACTACAAGGGTCATTTTCAGTGATGACACACCTAGTCTGCCCCACGCGACGCGTTTACATGCATGTGGGTGGGTAGTTACTCTGTCCTCTCTCTTCCATTCGATCCCTACACAATGCCAAGGCAAGCAAAGAATTTAAGAGACCAACCAATAAGCCAAGTAAAACATTACACCAACAGACCAAAACACACCACACAGAATGACGACGCACCCAAATCTCATTCTTGCCTTCCTCTTCTTCTTCTTGTTCCATTTCCTCCTCATCTCCCTTACCCACGCTGCCGGTGGCAAATGGCTGCTCTTGCAACAGAATATCGGCATTTCCGCCATGCACATGCAACTCCTCCACAACGACCGCGTCGTCCTCTTTGACCGCACCGACTTCGGCAAATCTAACTTGTCCCTGCCCAAAGGCAAGTGCCGCAATGACCCCAACGACACCGTCCTCAAAGTCGACTGTACCGCCCACTCAGCCGAATACGACGTCCCCACCAACTCCTTCCGCCCTCTCATGGTCCAGACAGACGTCTGGTGCTCCTCCGGATCCGTAGCACAAGACGGTAGCTTGATCCAGACCGGCGGCTTCAACGACGGGGAGCGCCGCGTCAGGATTTTCCAATCCTGCACCGGCTGTGACTGGAAGGAGTACGACAACGGCTTAGCCGCTCGCCGTTGGTACGCCACCAATCACATTCTGCCAGAAGGACGGCAGATCATCATCGGCGGCAGGCGGCAGTTCAACTACGAGTTTTATCCCAAAAGCGAGTCGTCTAGCAATGTCCACAGTTTGCCGTTCCTCGTGCAGACTAACGACCCCAAAGTCGAAAACAATCTTTACCCTTTCGTTTTTCTCAACGTGGATGGCAACTTATTTATTTTCGCCAACAATCGAGCTATTCTGTTCGACTACGTGAAGAACGTCGTCGTTAAAACTTACCCACAAATACCCGGCGGCGAACCGAGGTCCTACCCGAGCACCGGGTCCGCAGTGTTGCTGCCATTGAAAAACTTACAAGCTCGGTTTGTTGAGGCTGAGGTTTTGGTCTGCGGTGGGGCTCCGAAAGGATCTTATGCCAAGGCTGTCAATGGCACTTTCGTGGAAGCTTTAAAGACATGCGGTCGGATCAAAATAACCGACCCGAATCCTCAGTGGGTAGTGGAGACCATGCCTCAAGCTAGAGTTATGGGAGACATGACATTGCTTCCGGACGGCACCGTTTTAATCATCAACGGGGCAGCGGTTGGGACTGCAGGATGGGAATTCGGGCGGAACCCGGTTTTGAATCCGGTTATTTACCAACCCGACAAAGCAGTCGGGTCAAGATTCGAGCAGCAAAACCCCACAACCATACCGCGGATGTACCATTCCGCAGCGGTGTTATTACGCGATGGCAGAGTGTTGGTTGGGGGCAGCAATCCTCACATTTATTACGAATTTACCAACGTGCTTTTCCCAACGGAATTAAGATTAGAATCATTTAATCCTGATTATCTGGATGCTATGTACGTTAATTTGCGTCCCAAAATCGTTGCACCCCAGTCTCAAGCTAAGATTAATCACGGACAAAAGCTAGCCGTTCGATTTTATGTGGAGGGAACGGTGGCGCCGAATTTGGTGTCGGTGACGATGGTGGCGCCATCGTTTACGACACATTCGTTCTCGATGAACCAGAGGCTGCTTGTACTTGCAGCGGAGAGCGTGACAAATGTGGCCAAATCCACGTATCAAGTTCAGGTGACGACGCCGGGCTCAGGTAATCTTGCGCCTTCCGGATATTATATTTTGTATGTGGTTCATCAGCAAATTCCAAGTGAGGGTATTTGGGTACAAATCCTGTGACAAAATACGACGGGTATATATATAGATGAAAAATGCTAGGCTTATCACATTTTTAAAACACATTGTGAGGTGGACCTCATTGTATTGATGGGCTCCACCTCTATTAAAGAAGTGGTACACAATATGGTATAAAAATGTGGTAAGCCTAGTATTACCCTATATATAGCTAGTTATAGTTATTTTCTCTTCCTTTTTTTTTCTATACATTTTTTTATTTTATTTAAAAAGGAATTAGTTATCAGTGGAGAAAAATAAAAACCTGCATTGACAATCTCAAGCTAGGAATACAAAAGGAATTAGTTATTGTCAAATGCAATTCGATTTTCAGGTTGTTGTATATTTTTATTTTTATTTTTTGGAAGGAGACTATAATGCTTGTCCATCTTACTTTTTTAATACGTAATCATACTTGCAAGTTTTGCCCCATGCATTGTTTCAACGTCTTAAATTCAGCTAGTGCTCTGTCACTTACTTATGGGTTTTGGATAGTGTTTTTTGCTATTTTTTTTGTAATGTCGTAAGGTGTTCTACTTTATAGAGCATCTGTTGTTCAAACAAAAAAATTCAATGATTAGGCAAATTATTAACATCATAATTCCTTTTCCGAATGAAAACATATGTTAGAGTATTCCATACGTTGATGATATGTTAGACCTACTCACATTTTAATATAATATTAGAACAAGTTATTTGCGTGTAATCAGTCGCATATGATGATTGACGTGTATATCGAGTGTGTGAATTCAGAAAACCAATGACATCTAAAGCAAGGAAACTTCTGGGATTTTGTCTATATTTCTGATACTTTTGGTTTTTCATTGGCCCGGCCCTTTTTATTTTCTTGGTTTAAGAAAAAACAGCTATCATTGTCACTACAGAATGCTAGTTTGAAGCAAATACCGCCCAATACGAAATTGATTCTTGTGTATTAAATATTTTTAGTTGCATTCAATTCATTGCATGGGTAAGACATGCATCGCCGTGTCACACTGACGATTGATGTTTTTGTATTAATTTGAAGATTTTTGGCGTCTAATATTGTTAAAAAAATGCATGGGATGACGGGACCATGGGAGTCATTTTCACCCCTCAAATGTCAAATTACATATATATGTGTACACACCAAGGCTACGATCGATATACCATCAGATCAGGCCATACCCATGTGTCGGTTGTTTTCAACTTTTATATATATATATACATGATAATAAAAACAAGAGGCTCCAAAAGTATTATTCCTGCAAGTGGGTTGTTGTTCTTGTGTGTTGTGTTCACATGCAAAATAAGGCTGTCTGCCCTTCCACAAGATTTTATTATTTATCAGCCAAGACTTCCAGTGAGTATGATCTGTTTTTAAATGGGACAGATAAAACAGGAGACAACTTCCTTCTCATGTCTCCACGGTTTGTTGAGGCAAATTGCAGTGATTTGTCTGGGTGTGCTGCGTGCATTGAAGACGGCACATGTAAGCGTAATGTATAAAGAAATTGAGAGCGAAAACGAGATAATAAAATGGAGATATAAAATTTAAAAACCCAAAACAGTTAACCCTATATACTGTAGAAATGAATTGATGTACCATTCGACAGCGGTGTTGCTGCACGATGGTAGAGTGCTGGTTGGAGGCAGTAACCCTCATCCTGATTACGAGTTCACTAAGAGCATCCACAATATGGATTGTATGTTAAATATATATCCCGAGTCACAAGAACGTCTGTAATGGGTGGATGTAAATATACATCACCACCATAGAGATATAAAATAAAATGTATATTTACATCTATATTTACATCCTTTGCAGGCGGAACCCACTTGAGAAAAATGAAGAAAAGTCAACATAAAAGGCTAGGACCCACGGCCACACCCCTGAATTTACACCCCTCCATTGGAGCAAAAAACATACTTACACCCCCCGAAGGTGTAAATGAAATGTAAAAATAGTTTTACACCCCTGAATTTATATCTCTCACCGTAGATGCTCTAACGTATGACATTCATGTGAATAATAAGATCTGCGTCTCTTCTCCAATACCTAAAGATATATTGGTAATGAGAGAGAGAGAGAGAGGTGTGGGGATGAGGTTCTGTCTCTGACTCTGAGAATAGATTGGTAATTGAAAAATTGTGCAGCCGTTTACAGAACATGACGATTGTCGATTTCGAATGGGAAAAAGTGACAGGTTTGTTTGTCTGCAAATAAGAGACTAGCTAACTAGTGGGTCACGGATGGATAACTGAGGTCTTTTCAGGATTCGCACGCAACACAGGTCACGGGTGAGTGTTCATAATCATATGGGCTAAAGGTTAGCTATGATTGCAGTCCATTGTCGTTTCAAATTAAAAGCCACCCTTCACTAACCCCAACCCAATAAGTCATATATAATATAATATACAAGTCATTTCCTATTTCGTTAATTATCAAGGGCCGCTGACATGTGAAAATTTTCACGAGTTAACTAGGAGACAAGAGCTTAAATTATCAGGACTTTGCAGAATCAAAGACAAAACTAGTTCGTTCATCTACCCAGTTGTTGATCCATTGTGGTCTGCTAGCTGTTTTAGATGAATTATCGCGTTGTGTTGTAAAATGAGTCCTATCTAGCGATGGATGGTACAAGTCTATCTTATCGCTGCAAAACAATCACTTCAAGCCATCTACCTATACTGGGCTGCGTTTTCTCAATGAACTTATGAACTTGGGTCCGGTTCCCGTAATGAGCTCAGTAGATGACAATAATGGAATCTGTCCATAGAATCCTTGGACCACAATCAGAAAGCATGATCAATTGGGCTTTAAGAACCAGACATTGGGAGCCTGATCAATTGGGCTGTATAAAGAACCATACTTGCTGCAAACACAGTGCTTCAACGTTCACCAAAACCACCCCATTCATCACAGATCAGTTATCATAATTGCATTTGGTTTCTGGATAACGATGGAAATTACAACAAAACAGGTGTAATTCCAACAAGTACACGTTTTCTGCAACGCCGATTGGCATATCAAACACGCAGGCTCATGAAGAAAAAACAGAATAGCATATTGATGGGCAAAATTATAAAGTCATATATGTATCAACAACCTGAAGTTCGAAAACAAATACAACAATTTGGGAAGAATTATGCCCAAAAGTTCATAAATGCATACTTCTATACAGAAACAAGTAACAATGGCTGCTGCTCTAAAACACCTAATTATCTAAGAAATTAATATGAAAACAAAGTAGACATATTTAAGCACGTTCGCCACGGATGCGCCTAGCAAGCTGAATGTCCTTGGGCATGATTGTCACCCTCTTGGCATGGATGGCGCACAGGTTGGTGTCCTCGAACAGACCCACCAAATAGGCCTCTGCAGCTTCCTGAAGCGCAAGCACAGCATGACTCTGGAACCTGAGGTCGGTCTTGAAGTCTTGAGCGATTTCACGAACCAGGCGTTGGAAAGGCAGCTTGCGGATCAGAAGCTCAGTACTCTTCTGGTACTTGCGAATTTCACTGTGCACATCAAAACAGAGGATTTTAATTGAATTAGGGCACGATTCAGATATTGAAATTCAAGAACAGGAACGTCGAATTAGAGAAAACACTTACCGAAGGGCAACGGTTCCAGGACGGTAGCGGTGAGGCTTCTTGACTCCACCAGTTGTCGGTGCTGATTTCCTAGCAGCCTTTACAAAATTAAAACGAAACACAACCAAAATTAGATCCAAAGAATTTGATTATCAATTATAATTTTCCATCTAGCCAAACAGCCTACTTCGAAATCATAACGAAACGCACCTTGGTGGCGAGTTGCTTCCTCGGAGCCTTACCACCGGTTGATTTGCGAGCAGTCTGTTTGGTACGAGCCATTTCTTCACAAATTAATCACAAAATTCGCAGAGAATCTGAAATTAGAGTGACAAAGAATCGATCAGAAACGAAAAAAGGTGATAAGAAATACAAAGGAATCCGGGGATTATGTGGCTTTCGAAATCGAACCTTTCGAAATGAAGGAGCCTAGGGTTTTGGATCTTCACAATTATCAGGAGATTGAGGCGACACGATTGAAAGGATGCGAATGAGAGAAAGATTGGAAGTACAGGTCATTATATATGTATGACGATTGATTGGGAGAGTCGGTTGAAACGTGGACCTGGAGTTTTCAACACCAAATCCGATTTGGAGAAGGAAAAGGTCTAAATCCGCGTGCTCTGTCCCTGATTGGATGGTTAATTGAGGCACGGATTGCCAACGTGGACGGGTTGTGTTTCTTTTCTGAGAGTATTTCCGAACGAGTCTTGGGAAGGAAACTCGGACGAGTTGGTATAACAGTCGCAACTTACAACGACTTGTCGTTTCCGAAAGTAAACTGTCTGTTTACCCACGTCTCACGTGACTTGTCCACCGTCCACTTTTGTCGTCCACTAGGCGACTTGTGAGCAACAAACAAAGGACATGCCGTTTAACGATTAGGCAAAACGACATCGTCCGCTCCCCACAGTCAAAATCTTCTCGACCCAATTTCCTTCACCCTGCAAAATTGAAGAGTTTGGTGGCTTGATGGAGGGTAACAACAAGAAGGGGTACGCGTGGGCAATCTCAGCCGGCCTGAACGCCGCTCTGGCTGCCGTTTCGGCGAAGCTCATCACTCCTCAGGTGCCTTTCCCTTGCACACTCGATGAATTTTAGACCGTTGGATTTACATCGCAAAATCCTGCTTGATTTGTAATTGTTTTTTTTGGGGTCAATGAAAGCTTGATTTGTAATTGTTATTGTTTGAACAGATTGTTAGGTATGGTTTGGTGATATTGTTCAATGCGACAATGTGGGGATGTTATGTGAACAGCCTCAAAGCTCTGTCTTCTCTGCAAGCTACTGTCACAAATTTTGCTGCAAACTTCCTGTCTTCTGGTCTAGCTGGATACCTTTTGTTCAAAGAACCCTTATCTTTTCAGGTAAATCAATACAGGCTGATGATATTGGACCAACTCACACCGATTTGTTCATTTTCTTAGTATATGCTTCTGAGTTACCTATACGATGCATTGCTTTTGATTTTGAATGTGAAGCATAGAATTTCATAAACGAATGACATTGTTAAATGGTGGAGTGTTTGCACCAAAGATTTTCATTCCGGTTTCGGAGCACTACAAATGCGATTGCTATTATGCATTTCTGTTGCTGCATATAAATTTTAATGATTGTTCATTATCCTTGACTTGTTTCTTTTGCATATCTGATGATGAGAAGGCTTGTTTGACAGTGGTTTGCAGGTGCCCTGCTCATTGTAGTTGGTTCATTCGTACTTAGTAAGTCAAGTATTGAGAAGAAGGCCCATACCCATTAACATTTCTGCATTTCACTTCACCCTTGTGGTTGAGATATCAGAGAACTCTAGATTTCCATTTCTTTCCTCGTCCGACAAAAGTAGGGAGACAGAAGAGATCTTCTGAGAATGTACATGTATCTAAACAGTGAAAGAATGAGTTTTATGCTTACTGTCATTCTTCTTCCCTCCAACAGAAAATTTGCAATTCTTTCAAATTAATTGGTTTTATGCAGTCCTATAAACATATGATTTTGTTTCAATCTTCATACTTCACCACATTATTTCTTTTTAATCACGCGTATACATTGGACATAATGGAAAGTTTTGTAATTCAGTTCTTGGTCACAGAAAAATACTATTGAACCAAAAGTACTGTTTGCGTAGCTTCCCCTTGGGCCATGTCACATTTCTCCTTTTACCACATGAGCGGACGAGCCCATGAAAATTAATGAAGTTGGTCGAATCTCTATGCCACGCCACATTGAATTGGACGGCCATGTCCATTTATTTCTTTTTTATTTCCCTTTTGGGTTAATTCAAAGCGAAACAGCTATTGTTTTTCGCTTGGAGATATCAAACAGTAAAATATTTAAGACTTAATTGTAGCAATAGTTTCTGAATTTGTGTTTGATTCGTATTTTGATCATTGAAATCAGAAAATGACTGCTCTAGTCCAACCACTTCAATTTTGTTAGTATGGTCCTATGTTAGATTTTCTATTAAATTTTGGAGCAAATTAGTCATTTCAAGTCCAACGTCTCACCACCTCTTTGTACCTAAACAAGTTTGCAACATCAACAACCTCCTTCATCTTCCTTCCCTTACCTCATTTAGCCTCAACTCCACCACCACCCATCCCCCTAACCACCTCTGATAATAGCCACAATCCTTCAAATTCCCACATAACCCCACTTCATTGAGACCATTCAATTCCTCCTTGACTTATGAACCATATACCCATTACTGATCCCTCGACCCTTAAAAAACGAAGTAGTGGTGGGCAGCAAAGTGGAAGAAGATGACTGGTGTGGATGAAAATATGGTTTCGTCCTTGAGAAATAACATAAAAATGTTGGTATGTTTTGTAGACCATTGACTTACTTTCCTTACACACCAAGGATTCCTGTTAGAATTGTAATTGATTTACTTAAATTATTGTTTTTTTTATACTGTAAATAGAAATAGAAATTTATTATTTACTTAGCCACTAAGGTTCTGTTATATTATAAATATGACCTCTTACAAGGAAAGTAATATACAGAAAATTCATACGAACAATTATTCTCTCATAGTTCTTATATATTAGAATGGTATCAGAGCGGCAATCTTAGGATTGCTAACTCTAGTTTCTAAACCCTAGCCGCCACCATAGGGGAGGATCACTCTCTTAATCTTCATGGCGGTAGCACCACTGCTTCCTCTTCTCCTTCTGAACCAACCATAGCCAAGATGAGTGCCCAAGTGGCTAAACTCCTAAAAATGCAAACTCATACCTTGAACCGAATCCTAAATAAAGATCCTACCCAGACGACCCCGAACTCTACTCAGATGACAGCCTCAAACTCGACGCATACGATGACCACAAACTTGACTTAGATGACGACCCTGAACCAGACTCAGACGACGATCCTAGCAACAATTACCTATGAAGCTTCCATTGCACATATTGACATCAAGTTGGATGTCACTAACTATGCCCTATGTTCCCAAGTTTTTGAGATGTATAGCGCCGGAAAAGATAAATTGGGATATATTAATGGCAATCTTTCAAAACCTCCTTCGATCGCTCCAATGTTTCCACGCTTGTGTACCGAGAACTCCATCGTGAAGGGACGACTCATCTAATAAAACCCACTTGTGGACCATTGACTTACTTTCCTTACACATGAAGCTTTTGTTGCACATATCGACATCAGTTGTTGGATGGCACCAACTATGCCTTATGGTCCCAAGTTGTCGAGATATATAACTGTAGCAAAGACAAATTGGGATATATCAATAGAAATCTTCCACAACCTCCTTCGATCACTCCAACATTTCCCCGCTGGCGCATTGACAACTCCATCGTGAAGGGATGATTTATCAAATAAAACCCGCTTGTAAACTATTGACTTACTTTCCTTAAACACCAAATATTCTTATTATAATTGTAATTGATTTACTTTAATTCATAATTTTCTACCGTAAATAGAAATAAGAATTTATTATTTGCTTGCTCACTAAGGCTCCGTTGTATTATAAATATGACCTCATACAAGGAGAGGAATACATAAAAAATTCATACAAACAAATATTATCTCATAATTATAAATACTTATTTTTTCTAAATTTGACATAAAATGTAACATATGACTAGCCAATGAAAGTAGAGTTGAGAAACTACAACATCTATTTTTCAAATTCAATTACCAATATGCGAATCCAACATGAAGTTAAGGACTATTGCTACAATTAAGTCAACATTTAAAAACTCTCAAATGCTCTTAGTTAAATGGTGCGAATTAGTGCGTGCAAGAGACTAGTTAGATACTAAATAAAACCCGCTCATGTGCACGTAAGATACTAATAAATACCAAATAAAACCCGCTTTATAATTTTTTCAATTTAATTAGTAGACAGTGGGAAAAAGTATATAAAAAAACAAAAAGAAAAAAAAATTGTAAGAGAGGTAAAACCCCACCCTCACACCACTAGTACTGTACAACAAGTCTGTCTACATCTACATCCTCTCTCTGTGTGTCTGATGAGAGAGCACAAAAAGTTGAAAATTCTTCTTCTATCTGACTATTCCCCTTGCACGGGTTATCATCGTCTTCCGCGAAAACCAGGGTTTCTCCAAACTCATTCACTCTCTCGCCGTCTCTGGTAAGCTCTGATTTATTTCTTCCTCTTCTTCCATGCTGATTTTCTTCTTCGTGGATTATGTTTTGGTCTCTTTTGTATCCATCACAACCATCTTTAGTTTTTTAGTACTTGAACGTGGTTTTAGGTTGTGCTTTTAGAGCAGCTTCGAATTTGTTTGGCGTCAGCCGCTGTATGCTTGATTTTGGTTGCGATTGTCTTTTCACTCTGCAAATGAAGCTTGCTGTGTGACTGGATTGGAGATTTTGGATTTCTAGGGTTTTTAGTTCTGCTGGTTAGGAACTGAAGTTGTTTGAAGCTGCAGTTCTTACGGATTTTGAATATTTGATCATAGTCTTCGTCTAAGAATTGATTGAATGTTTCAGAATCGGTTCGTGTGTTGACCAGAGGACGAAGTCAATTTTAAGTTCGTTCTTCTATCTTGGCTACTCCAATGGAACGTTGGTTTAGTTTAATCTGTAATAGCACCCCCTCTTGCATAAGTCATAAGAGTTAAGTTCATTTTAAGTGCCTGCGATTGATCAATATGTTCTGTAAATCAATTGAAGTAAAAAAGTCATGACTGATTTCAAACAAGGATTTGATTTCGTAGTTGATCCATGACTGTCAGAGTAGGTTTAGACTTTATTCTGTAGTTGATGACCTGTTTTCTGAAAATGTATCTTGTGGGCTTCTCCTACATATTTGTGCTACATCCGAAATCTGAACTTTTTTTCTTTTGGACATCAACTGCAGGGTATGTAGCACCAATGTTGGTTTCATATTTAACCAGCTAAGCTGAGCATTATACTTGTGTTGGAGGTGTAAAACTATCGTCTGCAACTGTTGCTATTTGCAGATTTCAGATGGATGATAGTGGCCATCGTGAAAATGGAAGAATCAAAGCAGAGCAGTATAAAGCAGCTCAGGGTCAGGTATCCGCAAACAATTTTCTGAACACAGCTACATAAAGATAATATGATGTGAACTAGCACATATAAACTCTTTCATGAAGTATTCAGTATATACAATTTCACTTGAGAGGCATATCTGATGAAATTTTGTATCTCTTTTTGTTTTAGTGGTTGATGCAACATCAGCCATCAATGAAGCAGATAATGGCCATAATGGCCGAAAGAGATGCAGCTCTTCAAGAAAGAAATTTGGCATTTTCTGAGAAAAAAGCTGCCCTTCACGAGCGAGACATGGCATTCATTGCAGAACGGAATAGTGCCATTATGGAACGAGACAATGCCATTGCAACTCTTCAGTACCGGGAAAACTCCTTGAATAATGGTAATGTATCTTCGTGTCCACCAGGATGCCAAATTTCACGTGGGGTCAAACATATGCACCACCCACAGCAGCATGTACATCATCCTCCTCACATGAATGAAGCTTCTTATGGTACAAGGGATATGCACACAAGCGATTCCGTCCCAATGCCACCGGATGCTTCTTTGCCTACAAAGTCACGACAGCCCAAACGACCTAGGGAACCCAAGACAACGGCACCAAATAAGAAAACCTCAAAATCTCCCAGGAAGGTGAAGAGGGAGAGTGAGGATTTAAATAAGATGACATTTGATAAATTACACGAGTGGAAGGGCAGTCAGGATATGGGTGGCGGAGGTGATGATGTTAACAAACACTTGGTTGTGTCAAAGTCTGATTGGAAATGTCAGGACCTGGGATTGAATCAGGTTGCGTATGATGAGTCAACCATGCCAGCACCAGTGTGCTCGTGCACTGGTATCCTGAGGCAGTGCTACAAGTGGGGGAATGGGGGTTGGCAATCCTCATGTTGCACTACTACAATGTCAATGTACCCATTGCCGGCAGTGCCCAATAAGCGACATGCCCGAGTAGGTGGCCGAAAGATGAGCGGCAGTGCCTTCAACAAGCTACTTAGCCGGCTTGCAGCTGAAGGCCACGATCTGTCAAACCCAGTTGATCTAAAGGATAACTGGGCCAAGCATGGAACAAATCGCTACATCACAATCAAGTAGACCTGGAGAAAGTTTAAATTCAGTAGAGGTACAGACAGGTAGGGGGTGGGGAACATAGTGATCTCATCATGTATGCATTTCAAATTTTCTTTTCAGCTTGGTGGCGGGGAAAATAATGATTTGATAATCAGCAGTTGAAGTAGTTGGGTTTGGGAACGTTCAATGCCAGCTATCTTCAACAATGATAAGGGATTTTCTCTCATTTTTTTTCCTCATTAGAAACGGCTGAATGGGTTGATAATGCAGTGAGATTTTCTGGAAGGCAAAGGCTCAGGGAAACCATGGCCATTTCTAATCGTCTTGGTTAGCATGGAGGACTTAAAATCTCGCCCTTTCAAGTAAATTTGGGTGCTTCTGTCCTGTATTTGTAAAACCTTATTTCAACAGAACAAATTATTTTTCTGTTGTTAATTATCTAAGAGCACTAAGTCCATAATTATCTTTCTTTTTTGGCATATTTGTAATTCTTTTAGGTTCTTTACAGAGTTCTCATTCAAATATGTGCTAAATTTTTAGGCATATTTGGTAATTCCAGTAGAACTGTTCCTCCCATTAGTATGTGAATTCTCACTTTACTCCTCGGACGGTCGAGCCAATGTAGTAATTTGCTAGGTTAATTTAGACCAAACTCCACAAGAAAGGTACACCCAACTTGGTAGATTATATGAAATTTAATCTTTGCAACGAAATTTTATGCAAGGAAAAAGGAAAATAAGAAAAACTTTAAAGAGCTGTGTCAGATAACATTTCTTCAGCATCCATAAGTCAGACAGGGATAACTGTTAATATTGTGATCTCATCATACACAGCACTTCATCAGAAAAAAATTACAGAAAAACACAATTGAGTAATTCATTCCAAATGTAAAAATAAAAAGTAAAAGCAATAGTTTTTTTTTTCTGTCATAAAAAACTGAAACAAAATTCAATAACTTGAACATAGCCTCAGACCGTCCTAGTTCATTATAATTTTAATCAACATAAACGCAAATTTTTATTTGCTTCTGTCAATATAACATAGTCATCACCGGCAAAACATTCCACGGAGAAAATAAAGAGTTAAAAATGCCTTTCAAAACTCGAAAAGAAATAACAGATGTTTAAAACTTCTTACACCTATGAACAATCGGCAACGGAAGATTAAAGGTGTGAAATATAAACGAAGTGAGTGAGAAAAGCGAGAGAAATCGAGAGAGGCATCAGATCTTCCTATTCAATTAAGAATGAATCAAAATGCCCAAATCGAAATCCGAGCATTCAGCAACTGAAAATGTTCATCAATTGGCCTCACTGATTTCGTTGAATTACAAAATAGAAAACCGACAATAAGAAAAGAGACAATAAGGCGGAGCAACAGCAGAACACGAAAAACACACAACAGCACAGAGAGAAACTCGAGGCTGAGGAGCGAGAGAATACGGCTACCGTGAGCCCTAGGGTTTTGCAGTTCTACTGAAAGCTACCACTTCGACTCGTTTATAAAAGATTTCGGGAGAGGGTTTGGGTTTGGGAACTTCGATCGGACGGCTGGGATTTAAGATGTTTTGAGTAGTGGGCTTTGAACTTCTTGTATGGAAATGAGAATTATTGGGCCACAAGATACAAGGTTCATCGGTAAATAACTGAACCTCATTACACTGAGGCCCAAACAGATAATTGAAGTATATTTTATGGGAGCTGATTTCCCCACTCCCCTTTTCTCCACTTACATTCTTTTTTGCTTTTTAATACTTTTTAATCAATTTTGTTCTTTCTTTTTCCTATTCTATCATTATCCTACATTAATTTCTTTTTTACTTCACTTTTATATTTTTTCTTTTTCTTTATACTTAATTTTCCAACTTACACTCCAATTTCAATATTAAAGGGAAAAAAAACTTAATTTCTTACTCGATTAAAGGAAACAGAAATATTGAAAATGGAGTGCTAGTTGAAAAATTAAGTATAAATAAAAAGAACTAATATAAAAGTGAAGTAAAAATAAATTAATGTAGGGTAAGGATAGAATAGGAAAGAGAAAGACAAAATTGATTAAAAAGTATTAAAAATCAAAAGGGAGTGTAAGTTGAGAAAATGGGAGTGGAGAAATCATATTCCTATTTTATAAGCCTGAAAATATTTTTTTATGTTTTATTTTAAATACAGCCCAACAAAGAGTATTTGTTTAACGAATGAAGATCAAAATGCGTTAGGCACTTCAAAAATGTACCCCCTTTTTTTCAATCAATTTTAATTATACAAATTTATAAATAAACCAAATCCTAGACATGTATTTATAAAAAAACCCTAACACTATTTAAACATAGAAACACACCCAAACTCAACCCCAAAATCAACAATTGTATATTTTTTGGGTGTGTTTATAAATGGGTTTTGAGTGTGTGTAATGATGGGTTTTTGGTGTGTTTATAAAGTGTTTTGGGTGTTGGGTTTTTTTATAATTTCAACCCCCATTTTTTGTGTTTTAGTGAAACCCCCTTTTAATTATCCAACGTATGTGGTGAGTATTGTTATCATAAAAATTATATTGCCTGACTGTGCATTTTCAGCTCGTATTATGATAAAAATTAACATAATTAATCAAGGGCGCAGTTCTACCCACATGGCAGGGTAGGTGCTACCCAACCCAAAATTTTTAAAAAATACAAATAGCTAGATATGTTTATTCCCGTAAAAAAAATGTTGAAATCCTATCTTTATTTGCCCAGGCAAAATAAATAAATAAATCCTGTCTCTATTTTCATTGTACTACAGAGTACGCTTTACTTGTCTCATTGAAACTTTTCCCATCATGCTTTTCTTGTAGACTGAAACTTTCATTTAAACAATGAACATTTCTCTTTTTACTCTTTCTACCCGTCACTTTTCTTATTCTTTTTTTTTTCTTTCTTTCTAGTCATCTTCTTCATGATTCTCTCTTTTTATGTGATGTGTCTCTCTTATAGAATTTGGGTTTGTTGTTATAAATTGAATTTATGCCTTGTTGAATTAGGATTTCTGAATTGAATTGGGGGTTGTGAAATAAGAGCTTTGAATTGTGAATTAGGTTCCTCAATGTTTGAGAAATTATCTGATATTTTATTTTAAGCCTAAAAGGAATGAATTTTTTTTTTCTTTTCAGAATGGTTTTGTTAGGTTCAAGTGAATGTATGATATTTTCTAAGCCCAAAAATGGTATTCCTTTTCTTTTTTAAAAAATTACATATATTAGTGTTGAGTGTATGTACAGTGGGGGCCACAATTTAGAATATGCCCTTGACCCTTAGAAAACTTTGGTCACTCTATTCACTCATATCGTTGAGTTTAGTGTATAAGTTTTGCCTAACTGATTATCAAATCATAAATCCGCCGCTGTAATTAATTGTTTAAATTCATAATATTATGACAATTATAAACATTTTAGGTTTTTTAAAATTATAAAATAAGCAATGGAGGGAGGATTCGAACAGAATATTTCAAATGAAGGGATAATTGTTCTTAACAACTTGAGTTATAAACCTCTTAATAAACATCTTATGTTTACTTTAATAGTTTGGCAAGATAATATTTATATGTGACATTCTCACCTTGCACTAAAGTTTATTTTTAGGAAATCATTCTCACATTACACGTTTTTCTTGTTCTAATTATTTTTTTTAAAGATATGATCTATTTAAAACCTAGAAAACCTTGATAAGTACTTTTTTGATAAATGGAATAATTTTCCTTATGTTTCAATGAAAATTGCGGTGAATTCTTGCAATATCAGAAATATAGATTAATTTCTTGATCAGTTTTTTTCTTTTTGGGTATCCAATAATTGTACAAATATTTGAAGGGTTTATTTGGAGGGTTTATTCGATGGTGCATATCATTTTGTTTATTTTTCGGTGACCTGCTAAATTATAATTTTTTTTTTCTTGTGCTGGTGACTCAATTGTAAATTTGTTTGCTTGTGGCTTTAGATTCTATCATTTCTTCACTAAATTATAAAATAATCACGCACTTGTCCTCTCCTGAAGACAAGGAGAAGGAGAAAAGCCGGTGATAAAGGAAGAAAAAAAAAAAGAATATATAAAAACGCGTCTTGTAATTTCAGGCCTTGTCTGAAGTCCTGCTATGTTTACTGTCCGTGCCAAAACATTGTATTTGTAGTCAACAAAAACAAGCTAAAATCCGTGAAATCACCGCCTTTGACATTTTGATCATCGGTTCCTTGCCATTCTACTGAAACAAGCTTGGCCATCTAGGGATTATATAACCAACCAGGTAACCAACACTAATCTGCAACCATAATCTCTCTCTTTTTCTGTCTCTTAAATCTTTATCCCATTTCAGATTTTCTAGGGTTTCATTTTTAAGTTTTGGGTTTCAAGCTTTAGAGGCTTTTGATTCACATTTCAACTAGTTGGCAACTTAGCGCATGGTTTTTGTTTTGGTGAATCAAGGTTTTTAGCTTTAGAGCGGGCACAGGAAGCTTAGCTGAGCTTAATGGAGGGCAGTGATGAAACTGGTAGTGTCAAGCAACGACCCAATTCAACATTTGGTTCATCATCTTTTTCGGTTCCTAAACCAAACAGCCATTTAGAGATACCCAATTTCAATTCAGCTCAAATGGGTTTGCCTATGCGCCAATCATCCCCAAGTTTGAGTCCTGAGAACAGTAAGAGGCCTGGTATACCTCCTTCACACCCCAATAACCACAATTCAATGCCTTTTTCGCATATCATGAGGCCTCAATCGGGTTCTTGGCAACTGGGTCCTCAGAATTTGAGCTCAGTGCCTTCCCATACAAGATCCTTATCTCAGCCTTCGTTTTTCTCACTTAATTCTTTGCCCCCATTGAGCCCTTTGCCTTACCGCGAGCCCTCGTCTTCTTCACTCTCTGACCCAAATTCCGTTGATGTTTCTATGGATGAAACTGTTGTTAATTCTCATGCCCCGTCGCTTCGTTCTCCAGTTACTACTGACAGCAACGCATTTTGGGCTGGTGATGGCCTTCCCCCTCGTAGAGGCCACAGGCGCTCTAACAGTGATGTCCCATTAGGATTCTCAGCTGTCATTCAGTCTTCACCTCAGCTGATTCCCATTGGGCGTAGAACAAGTTTGGATGGATCAGCTTCTGGAAGAGAAAATTCGGGGATTGGCAAGCCAGTTCAGTTGGTGAAACGGGGATCAAATGGGGATAGGGATGGTAACAAAAATGCTGAGGGAATGGATGAGAGAAAATCGGGGGGAGAGGTTGTGGATGACTTGTTTAATGCATACATGAATTTGGACAACATTGAGAAAATGAACTCGTCTGGTAATGAGGATAAGGATTTGGATAGCAGAGCCAGCGGCTCAAAGACAAATGGGGGTGAGAGTAGTGATAATGAAGTGGAAAGTGGTCTAAATGGAAATCGTTACAACGGGCAGAGGCCAGCTTCTGGTTTTCCAAGTGAGAAGAGGGAAGGAGTCAAGAGGACTGCTACTGGAGATGTTGTACCAAACGTCCGACACTGTAGGAGCATTTCCATGGATAGTTATATGGAAAATTTGAATTTCGATGATGAACCACTGAAGCCCCTGCCGGCAGGCCAACAATCACCTTCCGCTTCCCTAGATGGTAACTCAGGTAAGTTCAGCATGGAGTTTGGAAGTGGTGAGTTCAATGCAATTGAGCTGAGAAAGATAATGGAAAGTGAGAAACTTGCTGAGATAGCCCAATCAGACCCCAAGCGTGCAAAGAGGTGTTGTGTTTTTAACTTCTATCCTATATCTATTTTTTAATGGATGGCTTGTTAAGTGAATTTTCTCATATGTGATCTTTTCATCCAGGATTTTGGCGAACCGTCAGTCAGCTGCGCGTTCTAAGGAGAGGAAGATGCGATACATTGTAGAATTGGAACACAAAGTGCAAACACTGCAGACAGAGGCAACCACTTTGTCTGCTCAGTTTACCAAGTTGCAGGTAGGTATTTATTTGGGGATTTCTGATTCTAAAGTCTAGCTCTTCCCTGTTTGAAATTGAACTTCATTGTATGTTCCCTGACTCTGTTTTATTTGCTTTTGTCCAGAGAGACTCTGTGGGTCTTACTAGTGAGAACAATGAGTTGAAATTTCGTCTTCAAGCTTTGGAGCAACAGGCCCAACTTAAAGATGGTATTATGCCTTTTTCTTTAGCTCTTTATATGTCTGTTGGAAACCACAATTATCATATGTTCCATTCCATATAAACTAATTTCTGTAGATGATTTCACACGAAAATTTATCAACCAAAACACATGTTGAAAGTTCAGAATGCATGCATAATTATATTATTAGCCTTCACTAGGTTTTCTGCTATTGCATTTCTAATTTGGTTGCAAATAAAATTAGGTTTGGCCAAACAGAGGTTCCTTTGTATCTTCCCGTAGCTTATATGATTGGTGTTTGAAAAACTAACAATATTGTGGTTAACTTGAAAATAGATCTGTTCGAATAACTACTCGTCTTCTTCTTGTGTCTCTACATGTAAATTTAACTTTATCCAGCTATAACCATTCTATCCTCATGTCTGTGATAGTCCGCCTCCTTGACTATGGATTTTCATTTCAGTTCTACGAATTCCTGAAAACGTAGAAACCAGTAAAATTTTCAGTTAGTTTTAGCAATTATAACTGTGCTGCTGTATCTTGAGGAAAAATAAAAATGCTGCTGTATCTGTCTGCTTGTGCTTTTCATTGTGGAAACGTATTTATACTGATCTTGATGAATGGAAGCAAAGTGAAATTTTATTCCTCCCACTTTGGTAATTATAAATGTTTCATATCAGGTGGAATTCCTAACTGTATAGATATTCCTGTAATCTGTCAATACCAAGTAAAAGAAAAACAATATATTCGTTGAATTTTCTAGATAAAGATGCAGAATTTGCATATGAGTATCGAATATTCTTCCCGGCTTGTGATGAAAGCGGTCTAGGATTGAAAGGAGTGGTCAAGCTTAAACATTAAGTGAATAGATATAACTTAAGACATTAAATCCAAGATATTCTTCAATGCTTTGATGTATTCACACAATCCTGTAGGGCAAAAGTCGATATATTGATAGGAAGGCAGAGGTTACAGTCAAATTTAACTCAGCCCTGGCCCCTGGCTGTTTGAAAGGATTGAGCTTGATTAACACTTGGGTCTCTTCACTCCCTTCCCTTTCTCAAATACTTTGGTGGGTGGTAGTCAGATTTTAGGTCCATAATTTTGTGATAGTTAGATTGCCTAAATGTTTAACCACGGAGCTTGATTAATTAACGCTTTATAAATGCAACTTTTTTAACTATTAAAAAACCCTCTAATTCGTAGAGTCATATTTCATTTATGGCATATTCCTTCTTCTGATGTAGATGGGATCTGGACTGATTTTATCTTTATATTTTCTTTGGTCTTTGATGTTGCAGCTTTAAATGAGGCCTTGACTGGAGAAGTCCAGCGGCTAAAGCTTGCTGCTGCAGAGATCGGTGGAGAAGGGCACCTTTCAATTAATCAACAAATGCTCCAACTACAGCATCTCAACCTTTATCAAATGCAACAGCAGCCACAACACCAGTCTCAACAGCACACACAACAGCAGTTCATGCAGCCTCAGCAAAACAGACAACCTTCCCATCAGCAGAATGGCAATGGCAATGGCAATGCTGCTGCTGCTGCTAAGCACGAGTCAAGCGAATAGGTTGGCCAACACATACGTTGGCTTGTATTGGTTCAGTAGATTATGGGTGACAAAATTTATTTTGAAATGATGTCATATAAATCCATATATATGTCTAAATTTATTGACATAAGTATTATTGTGAAATTTATATAACTTAACCATTTTTTGGTTCATTGGGTTGGTTACTTCTGTTGTATTGAAAGTTTTACTTGGGGGAGAATCAAGTCTTGGTTAACTGGTTGTTTGTAGTATTCTAATTTTGTTTCAAATGTGAACTTTGATGTTTAGAACATATACTATATATATATATACAGTCCCCTTCTATTGAGGGATCCCTCAAATAATTTTATTTGAGGGACGCCTTTTGGGGTACCCTACAATTTTTTTTCCAATGATCAAAACCATCTATTTTTTAGGTCTTCATTCATAGATCATCCTTACAAAAAATTAGACAAATCGGAAACTGTTTCGACATCCAATTGTGTTTTACAAAATCAATGAACACGGTGCTTCAAGAAAGTACTAAAATTTCAATAACTCAATTTAGTGGTCAAATGATATCGGATTCAAGTGATTTTTTGTAGAGATGATCTTTGAATGAGTATCTACAAAATAGACGGTTTGAATTAGTGAAATACAATCTAGAGTGGGGCCTACAAGGGGTGTCCCTCAAATAAGCTTATTTGAGGAATCCCTCAATGGAAGCTCCCTGTATATATATATATCCTTCTATTGAGGGATCCCTCAAATAATTTTATTTGAGGGACGCCCGTTAGGGTACTCTACAATTTTTTTCCCAATAATCCAAACCATCCATTTTTTAGGTATTCATTCATAGATCATCCTTACAAAAAATTAGACAAATTAGAAACCGTTTCGACATCTAATTGTGTCTTACAAAATCAATGAACATGGTGTTTCAAGAAAGTACTAAAATTTCAATAACTCAATTGAGTGGTCAAATGATATCGGATTCAAGTGATTTTTTGTAGAGATGATCTTTGAATGAGTATCTACAAAATAGACGGTTTGGATTAGTGAAATACAATCCGGAGTGAGGCCTACAAGGGGTGTCCCTCAAATAAACTTATTTGAGGGATCCCTCAATGAAAGCTCTCTGTATATATATATATATATATATCTCTACAAGCTGGAATAACTCTAATAAGCGCAATTCAAGTCCAATTGACATTTTTAACCATCAGTTTTCATCTCAGTTACAAATTCAAATAGAAGCAATGTATAATATGAAGGTTTTATGAATAATGATATGTATTTCGTTGAGTTATTTACACTAACATCCCTTCATGTTTTTGGCTTTTTCATAAAACTCCCTAAGTTTCAGAAATTATACGAACACCCATTGAGGTTTCAAATTGTTTTCACAAAATCCATTTTCATTGATTGTTTGTTCAAAATTTGATGATTTTCATTTTAAAAAATGTGTGCAAATGACAAAATCAGCCTCAATGAGTGTATGTGCAATATAATTTCAAAGGCTAACTTTGTCATTCCGAGAATTTTTTATATATAAAATCATCAAATTTTGGATGAAAAATCAACAAAAATGAATTTTGTGAAAACAATTTTAAACCTAAGGGATGTTTACGTAATTATTAAAGCCTTAGGAATTTTGTGAAAAATACGAAAAGCTGAGATTGTTAGAGATTATTCTAATAATTTCATATGCATACACGAATTTAAACCCACAAATGCGGACCGAAATGGAATTTTACAGATTCGTCGAATTATGTCGGGGTTTCTAAATTGAAAGCTTAATTCTTCTTTGTCACATAATTGAAGTATTTAGTTAAATCATCGAAATCATGCAAAGCTTCAACTGCTCAATCCATAAACAGAGGAGTAGTACGATACGAGTGGGTTCATAAAGGCCACAGCAACCGACTGAAATAATTCTACTGCAATATTAGATTTATTCAAATGAAATATTTAAATAGAAATGAAATTTAGGTTAGCCTCACGGGAAACATACGATAGGAGCCTTGATGAAAACAAAAGCAAAAGTAAAAGTCGCGAAAATGAGCGGATTAAAATATGAATAAATACGAGTAAAAGAGAAAGGCAAGCTGAAGATTTTGAGGAAAGAAAAGAAGCAGCAGAAGAAAATCTAGAGACTATTTTATTATCTACATGGCGTACGTTCCCTTTTTATTTTATTTTTCTTTCTTTTTAATTAATTAAGCCCTGTTCTCGTAAACCCAACCAAATCCCTCCCTTTTAATATTTTCCTTTCCCATTTTGAATTAGGGTTCCATTCTTCATCCATTTCTTCCTCCGTTCCTCCACACCCCAAAATCCTATGCCGTTCCCGATCTCTTTAAACTAGCCGTTGCTTCCATTTCCCGCCAATCTCACCTTCATCCCAGCCGTTCATTATTCACCTTTTGAAAACTAGCCGTTAGATCCACCGCTTCTGGAGCCATTCCGCTGTATATTTTCCTTTTTGAAGTCTTGACCGTCGGCTTTGCCGGATTTTGACCTGCAATGTCTGCGGTCCAAGTGGAGAAGAAGGTCGAGGAGGAGGAGAGTAAGAATGTAGAGAAATCGGGAGAGCTCTTGTTCTGTGGCGGTACGTCTTGGGATGTCATTGGTCGGCGCAAAGGCGCCGTCGAAGGCAACTTGATTTCTCCCACGCGCCTTCGCCCTCTCGTCGGCATCGATATCCGTTTTGTAGCCTCGGGTTGCTGTGAGTTTCCTTCTCACTGCTTGTTTAACGCAGTTTGAATTTTTTTTTGGTGGTGAATGTGACAATGTTTGTTGGTTTTTATTGGAATTGATTGTTTTGGTTGTGCAAATGTTGGCTCAGCTTCCTGCCATTGTGTGGCATTGGATGTGGAAGGGCGTTGCTATACTTGGGGACGCAATGAGGCATGATCACACTCTACTTTTGGTTTCTTTGTTTATGCTTGTGGTCTATTTCTTTTGTATTTAAGTATGAAGTTATGTTTGCAGAAGGGTCAGCTGGGTCACGGAGATTCAATTCAGCGTGATAGGCCGACTGTAGTGTCTGAACTTTCAAAGTATGTTGCTTCTCTGATGTTGAACGCAGTTGTATTATTGATAAGATTAGTTAAGAGCTAGTATTATAGCAATGAAATATTTTGATGTCGGTGCCCCATTGTGAATCTTCGAGTTCATCATCTCTGGAGAACTCTTCAATAATTTTAAAGAAATTCTCTATTGCAGGCACAAAGTTGTTAGAGCTGCATCAGGGAGGAGTCATTCTGTAGTGATTACTGAGGATGGGTATTCTTTCGCCTTTGGCGTTCTGCTTTGTAAAGTTGGTCTGATGAAATTTTAGGAACTAGCAACGAGAATCTGATGACAATTAGTTTTCTGGGATGCTTAATTGAATAATGCTTCACTAATTAAATACATCCATATTCCCTTAGTTTTCATGATGTTATACTATCTGGAACACACTATCTGGAAGATTATGTTTTCTGCTCTCTATGTGGACATTATGAGATGCCAATAGGAGAGCCAAGTTTACTTTACAACTTGGTATTGAGTGAGTTCAGTTGAGTCTTGGATTAATGCTACGTGTTCTGTTAGTAGAAATTGTTGTAATTTTTAGTATTCAAGTCAAATTTCATGGCTCTTAATTGTACTTAGCATATTTTGTAAATCTTTGACAGTACATATGTGTATAACTGACAGCCTTTTGGTTACATACTTGCTTTGTGTTCTGTAGAAATTGAGAAATCCCCTGTTCGCTGTCAAGTGTCTGATGTTAAAAATACAGCTTGTGGGGCTGACTTCACTGTGTGGTTATCTTGTGTTGAAGGAGCTTCTATACTGTATGGTCTGCAGCTATGCTCGAGTTTCTTGAACTTTCGGTCAATTGCTTAATTGTCTTGGTTCTCAATTTGTTATGATTACTGGCTGAATTACAAATGTTTCTTGATTTCCAGAACTGCAGGTCTTCCACAGTATGGGCAACTTGGGCATGGTACTGATAATGAGGTATGTTTTAGGGTAGATTAAGAGGTTTTTTGGTACATTTCTTTACACCTTAATATCTTTGGACAATGTGGCCTTTACTGGTAATGGAATGCCCTGGCAGTTGTTTATGAAATTAAGCATGAGATAAATTATGGATGTCCTTGCAGTATAATACTAAAGACAGCTCAGTGAGGCTTGCGTATGAAGCCCAGCCACGCCCTAAAGCAATAACTTCTCTGGCTGGGGAAACCATTGTGAAAGTTGCATGCGGAACAAATCATACAGGTTATCACAATGCCTGCCCTCTCTCTCTTCCCCCTTTCCGCTGATTTGCATGTGTGTGTGTTCTCTGTCTGCAATTTGTGTCGTTATCGTTTGCTTAATTCGTTTATATGGTTTGGGAATACAGTGGCAGTGGATGCAAATGGCTATGTTTATACGTAAGGGCTTTTATATGGCATTACCTTTGTCTTGCTTCCAAATATTTTGATATTTGAGTATCTGTCTAACTTGCAATAATTTATGGTGAAACTCAGGTGGGGCTTTGGTGGTTATGGAAGGTTGGTACTCACTGTTCATTCCCAAGCATTTGTTTTTGTTTGTTTTAAATTTTTAGAAGTGGATGAATGTTTCTTATGAATTTGCCTATTGAAATCATCTTTGTTGTCATTTTTAATTTTGATCTTCTTACCCTGCATATGACTCTGGAGTGCTGTTTATAGGCTTGGACATAGGGAGCAGAAGGATGAATGGGCTCCTCGTCGTGTTGATGTTTTCCAAAGGCAAAATCTTCTGCCTCCTGATGCAGTTATATCAGCTGGTTCTGTGAACTCTGCATGTACTGCAGGTACCCAATTAATGTGTTAACAAGGCTCTCTCTCACTTGTTCTTGCTTTGGTTGCTATATCATTGTTCACACAGCTTATTAGAATACCGTTCTTATGTTCTCTCATAAATTCTTATATTTTCATGAGACGTTTCTTCATGTCAATTTTTGGTCACATGTTTGCTTGCATAATTGGGTTTTTGTATTATTTGTGGTTTTCAAATTCTCTTAGCTGCCTCTCTAACAGATTTTTTCTGTTTGGAAGAAGTGGGAAGCTTTTAAGCATTAAGCATAGGCTTTACGCTTTGCATAGTCACATTTGGAAGGTCATGGCACCTTACTGCATGTCAAACACCAAAACACATTTATAATTTAAATTGAAGTTAATGGAGG